ATTCATACATACAGGCTCATCAAGCACTTATTACTCGGATAAAGTCAAGGGACGGTTCACCATCTCCAGGGATGATTCCCGCAGCCAGCTGAATCTGCAGATGGACAACCTGAAAGCAGAAGACACGGCAGTCTATTACTGTGCGAGAGACACAGCGTGAGGAAGTGAATCTGAAGCCAGGCAAGAACCTTCTCTTCCTCTGAGCAGCCCTTCAAGTGTATTCAGTCACAGAAGGTTGAACTGGTGTCCTTGAACTGAGAAACAGCAGATAAATCCACATCAGAGAAAGTGGGAGTGCAGAATTGATTCTGGAGAAAGCAGCGGGGAACCTGGGTAGCACTAGGTTGGGGGACAAGAAGCAGTTGTAATGGTAATAGAATAAACTAGAAAGTTTTTTGTTTAAAGTTAAAATTTCATTAGAGATAGATACATAGTTTCATTACCAATATTTCATCCTTCATGTAGTATATGTAGTTCCAACCCCTTTCATTCTCTCAATATCTACAACATTCCTCAATTTATTTATTTCTACCTTTTGCTTGTTTTTCATTCTTTTTCAATGAATGATAAAAGATGGATGAGTAATGATAAGAATTATTATCTTATCAAAGGAATACACAATATTACAGAGCAGATTGTGACAAATGATCCACCCTGCTTAGCCTGTCTGCCTAGAGAAAAAGGAGGATGAGGGGAGGACAGGCAGCCCCACTTCGATATGTCCAGAACTGCCTCTTTTGGTTGGAGATATGCAGACAGGTCACCTCTTAGGGGTGGTTTCCAGTAGATGACCCAGATGTCTTTTCCCAACCCATTTCTTCCATGATTCGATGAGAGATATAAGAAAAAATAAGAATTCCCCACACACAGAAATTACACTCTGTCGCTACTAACCCCTCAAAAGGGATTTCCTCTCAGGTAACAGAAGAGCAGTTTTGGATTTCTTTCTGATTAGATCTCTCGAGAACTTTCATTTCCCCTCAGCCCTACTTCCCATTCTCGAATGCAAGAATCTCCTGGGGAAGTGAAGTAGAGGCCTCCCCTCCTCTCCTTTTACACCAGGGGGCAATGTTGTCACACTGAATTGTGTTGCATATGTGCGAGGTGGGGGTGGGGCAGGGGAATAAAGGAAGTGTCTACAGACATTGTCTCACTTTGGAGGCAATGTTGTATTTACTCTTCTTTTCCCAAGAGGTCACTCAAAAAATGTCAAGAAAATTTAACAACTCAAGACGTTAAATTCCTCACCATGAAGCCATGTCTAAGTTGACAACAGATGCACTTTGCTAAATATAAAAGACACTGAATACTTTGGAAAGTGCAAATTGTTGTGTGTGTGGTTTTTGTTTTTTTTTTTTTTTTGTATTTCTCAGTCCACGGAGTGAATGTATTGGGGGCATTTTTTGAAGGATTGGCATTAGTATTATTATTGTCAGTATTATTCTGTCAGTATTATTATTTCATTGTTTACACTTGTCCATCTTGCTCAATCAGCTCTGTGTAGCTAATAACAGATAAGAAGAACATACAAAATGCAACCGAAAAACAACCAAATCTCCCTCACAGCTGGAAGCCCCGAACTGATCCTGGAATATGCAGTGGGGAACCTGGTTAGGACTTGGTTGGGTATAAGAAGCAATCTCAGGGCAGTAGAATATACTGCCTATACTATTTTTTTTTCAGTTAAAATTTCATTAGAGGTAGATATATTGATTCATTACCTAAACTATTTTTTATATTCTTATGCATTTCACTCCCCCTTCATTCTCCTGATATCACCAAGGCACCTGTGTTTCATTCTTTGGTACAGGGTCCCCATTTCTCATTCCACTGATATTTTTATATCTCATATCAGTCCCCTTAGTCCTGAAGTGCTCTCCCCTCAGCTGGGCACCGTCAGGAGACCAAAATGCCAGAAATTGCACACCTTGTCTCCCAGAATCCCTTGGGGTCTGTCTCTTTCAGAATCACTTCCTGCCTTGGTGTAGCCACTTAGTAGTTCCTGCTGCCAGAGCTCTGCAGGCTTCCAGCTTTGTGAAGAGATGAATACTGTGTTGATTAAGCACTGTAATATGCAGCTGTCCCAGTGCCTGACAGGCCTTGCTGATCCTGGAGTCCATTTCTTTGTACAAAGACCCATCGCTTGATATGATGCTTCGCAACTATTTGAAACTGTTTACATTTGTCCGTTGGGTGATTTTTGGTTCTACAGAGTTACTGCTTAGCACAGGCTGGTAAACAATTCAGTCTCGTTCAGGCTGATAGTCAGGCCAAAGAGCATTGCTGCATCTAAGAATTGGTTCAGCATCAACTGTAGATCACTGTCTGTGCACCAGGAATGCACAGTCATCAGCAAAGAGGGTTTCTTGGATGACCGCATGGAGGCAGTTCATTCATGCATTCAAGTGGCAAAGGTCAAAGAGAGAGCTGTCCGATCTGTGCCTGATGTACACTCCCTCCTTCAGACCCTGGACAGCACATGACAACATGCAAGAGAAGAACAGATTGAATAGGACTGGAGCTAGCACACAACCCTGTTTTACCCCACTGGAAATGACAAATGCTGCTGATGTATCACCCTTGTAAAGAACCTGCCATGTCATTCCATTGTGGAATAGCTGAATCAACTTCATGAATTTCCTCGGGCACCCGTAACAACATCTCAAGATGATCCAGAGAGCCTCCCTGTTTCCAAACTCAAATGCCTTTGTCTGGTCAATGAAGATAGAATGAAGAGGTTTGTTCTCCTCAATGCTCTTCTCCTCAACTTGTTAGATGGCAAATATCATGTCTGTTGTGCTCTGTTCTGGCCAAAAGCCACACTTTTCCTCTGGGAGTCTCCTTTCTGAGACAGTGACAAGTCTGTTCAGGAGAATCCAGGCAAACATCTTGCCTGCAGTGGACAGCAGCAAGATACTCCTATAGTAAACACAATCTGATTGGCTTCCCTTATTTTTGTTTCCCTTTCCCTTCTATTATTGTAGACAGCCACAATGAAGGCATCACAGAAGTTGTCAGGCATCTCCTCTGTGGACCAAATGTCCTCCAAGATGTCTTGGAACGCCTATAAGGCATTTGGGTCTAGTGCTCGGTAGATCTCAGCAGGAATGCCATCCTGTCCTGTTGCTTTTTTTAAGTTCATCTGCGAGATCGCTTTCTTGATCTCATCAGTAAAGGGAGGCAGGTCTAGGACATCCAAGATTGGCAGCTGAGGAATCTGCTGTAAGTCATCATGATCAACTGCAGATGGCCTATTAAGTAGGTTGGAAAAGTGTTCAGCCCAGTGATTTTTCAGTCCTTCCTGGACTTTGATCAGGCTCAATGCATCCAATGACAGCAGGGGGCAGCATCCTAATTTAGAAGGACCACAAACTGACTTTATGGTGCTGGAGAACTCTCTGGTGGCATGCATAGCATAGCATGCCACCTGCTCAGCCTTTCTCTGCCACCCTCGTCCTGCATTTCTCACTCTTCTGTCTGCACTTTGGACTGCAAGTGCTTAAATTGTCTTTCTTTGAGACAGATGTCAGATTTTTCTGCCAGTCTGCATCGGCCTTGTACTTGGTCTGGAGGGTGGCTGAAATGGTCTTGTGGTTTTCACCAAACCAGTCTCGATGTGCCTGAATTTTCAGTCCAAGTACAGTTGTTGCAGTCTTCAAGATGAGATCTTTAAATTGAATCCAGTTTTCAGAGCAGATTCCTACAAGTGCCAGCCAGCTACAATCCCCGGCCAGTGACAAACTCATCATTGTGGGTAACTTCGCCACTAGGGTGGGGACAGACAGTGAAAAATGGGACAGCATCCTTGGGAGACGTGGGATAGGAAAACGAAATAGCAAAGGCTTGCGGCTTCTGAGCACATGTACAAACAAGTACAAAGTTACTTGGATGCATCCCGGTCCCAACACTGGCACTTATTTGACTATGGCATAGTACGTCAGCACAACGTTAAAGATGTCACCACCACCTGAGTCATGCGAGTTGCTGAGTGTTGGACAGATCACAGGCTGGTCAGGTAGGTCCTCAGCCTGCACAAAGATCTCTTTGTGTTTACATATATAAAAATAAACATATATACAGTATATACAAACAAATGTGCATACGCAGGCACACACACGTACACACATTAGAAATGTAGAAAGATAGATGTTCAGTTTTCTTGTATAAGAGGAACAGGAATAAAGGAAAGTTGAGGGTGTTTGTAGGAGTTTTGATCTGGGGAGTGGGAAATTCGAAGGCTGTGACTCGCTGGTGGGTTCTTTTGACCACAACGGGGTCATATTTTATTGAGTCCTTGTGCAGGAAAGGAGGAAGGATGGTATCATTTCAAAGGCG